CCAAATTTCTCATTGACTTATAAACACTTCACTTGTTGTTTCAATATAAGAAATAAAAAAAACAAATTTGTAACTTTTGTGGCATAAATTATTGAAGTGGTCAAGATCATTTTATGTTTTGTTTTTGTAAGAATAATAAAAGACAAAGCTGAAATCTGAAAAACTAAGAAATTTAAATATTTGCAGAAAATAAGAACAGACATTTTCTCCAAACTTTAAAATAAAAGAAACTGAAAAATAAAAGTAGATGTTAAACAAAATGAATAATGCTAAGATATATTCATGTTTATATTTCTTTCTCTGAGATCTGAAGATTAGAAATCTTGGAAATTCTACTGTGTGTCATTGCAATCTCGGATTCCAAGAGACTTTATACATATTTCCTTTTTGTTCTTGAGAATTTACAGCAAAAATATTAAACACTATTTTTTAGTGTACATTATTTATATTCTTTAGACTACTGTCCTCCTCTTTATTGTCATGTACACAATGTTTTGGCCGTTATATGCTTTGGTCTTATTCAGGTGATTGGAATTTCAAACTGAACTCTTTATTTCATCCAATGGAGTAGATTGTTCTAGTTCCACATGACAATCACCTGAAGAAGGCCAGAGCATACAATGGTTGAATCGTAATGATGAGGACAACAGTCTGAACAATTTAAATAATGTAAATTATTAAAATGCCTCATCTCAGAAATATAGACACAATATTTATTAGATTGTTTATTTGCAAAAATGATTTTATATTTACAATATTCTAAAAACTAATCCAATGCAATATTTATCATTTACCAATTTATAAAGAAATAAATATGAAAACAATTTTTTATTCATAAATTTATAAACATTTGCTAAATTATTAATATATGTGGATCAACTACTATAAGGAAATCATTATTTACCATTTTATAAAGTTTGAATCAATTGGCAATTCGTGAATGTAGTGCTAACCATTCCAATCAATAATCTACATGTTCTTCAAAACTGACAACAAAATATTAAACACTATTTGTTTCTTAGATTGTTTATTTACAAGAAAAATTTTATACTTACAACATTATAAAGTTTGAATCAATTGGCAATTAGCTGATGTTTTGCCAACCATACAAATAAACAATATAAATAATAAATGAAGAATCGAATAAATTTGTTACTGTAATCTGGACTTATCTATACCTTTTGCTGTAAAGCAAACCCTGGTTTAAATTTCGACTCCAGTGTGGTGAAGGCTATAAGATTTACATTCGACATTAAATAAACAGCAAACATGGACCTTCATGCCATAAAAAACAGAATGTCAAAAGGAAGGTTTATCTCATGACACCACATTTATTTCAACACATTGGCAATGTTTATTGTTTTAAAAAACGATGATTAAAATTGTAATAAAATTTAGACATATAATGAATGTGAGGCACGTTGGAGTAATGGATAAGCGGCTTGGATTGAGGAATAGGAGAGCCGAGTTCAAATTCCAGTCCATTCTTCTCTCCCCCCCCTCCACACAGCTATGGGTAAATAGCAGGACAGAGTGGGTTAGAAGTTTGGCCTTGGATTGCAACGGGTCTACCACAGAAAGAAATGGCAACCTACTGCAAAAAAAAAAAAAACTGCCTCATCAGTCCTGTATCTTTCGATACATGATCACCTAAGTGCATATCACGCATGGCACACAACTGACTAATGAAAGTGAATTTATACATGTTTTTGTTCTTGAGAATTACATAACAAAATATTAAACACTATTTACTTCTTAGATTAATTATTGACAGGAATAATTTTATATTTACAAGATTAAAAAACTAATAAGATTGTATTAAAATTTATGCAATGCAGTATTTAGCATTTACCAATTTATAAACATGAAATGTGAAAACAATTTTTTATTCATAAATTTATAAACATTTACTAAATTATTGATATATGTGAATCAACTATAAGGAAGTTCTTATTATTTACCATTTTATAAAGTTTGAATCAATCGACAACTAGCTGACATTTTTGCCAATCATCCTCACAGAGCATTCTAATTGTGTGTCAGTCAAATGTTTAAGTTAATCTCAGCTTAAACATGATCAGTTTACAAAAATGCATAAGGCTGTAAGCATTTTAATATTAATTTTGACCCGATACAAGGCTCAAAAGCCACTCAAGGTATATGGTTACTGTGTGGTGCTGTATTAGCATAAGAAAAGGCAAGAAGAGCAGTTCAGGAGATTATGTAGGAAAGATAATGGTTAATCTTAGAATTGAAAAGGTCAAGATTGTAGTTATTGAGAAAGCATCCTCTCAGGAGTCTGTTTCACAAAGTAGCAGTTCTTGTGAAGAAGCTTTTCAAGTGGAACTTCTTTCTTACTAATGGTATACAAAGGGAATGAGGAGGATTCACCCATGTGTATGTGGCATGGTGGGTCCCAGCTGCAAAGGTCAGGGCTGGTGGAACCAAGTAATGTTGTTCATCAGAACACTTTCCACGAAAATAGCATTAGTGCAACAAG